GTTTTCAAACTCTCTGTAAGCGGAATCCCTCTTGATATGCTATTCTGTGACTTGCTTTTCTCACTAAACCCGGTTTTCTAAGTTCCTCCTTGGGAGTGTGTGCCCACCGTCCATCCTGTTTTGAGGTCTGGCTGCAGCTGTCTGGCACACAGGAGCCTGGCCCACAATTGGGGGCCACCCAAGCCCCAGGAGAAAGATGCACAGCAACCCCTTCAGTCTCTTGCTCATCTTCTCCTTCGATCCAGCCTGGACACCATCACCAGCCACTCAGGGTCATTCCCCTTCCCCACGTAACCTGTCCTGGTCACAGGGGCCGGGGCACCACCCCCGGCTCTCTGCTTCCTCTCCCCCTCGGCCCCTCCTCACAGCTCGCACACCAGCTTCTTTCATTGTCTGTGGTAAGACTTTCCGGTGTGTGTGTGGGGGGGCAGTTATTACTGTCCCACTGTGTGACATCATAATAGGCTGCTGTCCCAGAACACAAAGGCTTTGGAAGATGGTGAGGAGACACGTCCTATTTACGTCGTCACTGACTAGACAGCAGTGGGACTGGGAGGGTGAGGAGAACAAACATCTGTACACTGAGAATAACAATAACACTTGTTCTCTTTTATTTCTGAAGCCTGCTTCAATTATGCCCTTGCAGCTCAGACAGGCACTTTTGCATGTGTGCAGGTGGATTAATAAAAACCCATTGAAATGCAAAGTGCGGCCCCCACCCAGCCCGGAGAGGGAGCTCACCCTGCCCCCATCCTGAGCGAGTCTGCTCCAGGGATCCTCTCAGGCACATGCAGGTTGGGAGTGAGGACCCGCACGGACCAGGAACCAGACTCACGGGGTCACAGCTGGAGCCACGCCCCAAAGACCAGAGGGGACGCGGTGTAAGTCACACAGGCCCAGGTGTACCCAGCCACCCAGCCCAGTGCAGGGCCCCCTGGACATCTTCACCATCTCCATCCCTGTTTTGGAAAAAATAAACCCAAGGGCTGTTTTATTTATCATCCCCAAAACACGCATCACAGCCAAATGTTCCACACGCACCCTGGACCGAATTTCCTTCCTCGTGAGGCCGAGGGGCATAGAAATAACCAGGCGCTCACCTATCTCACACTGGAGCCGGTCACGGGGTGCATGGCAGGCCTGCCTAGCCTGCCTGGCCATCCCCAATGTGCAGCCTGCAAGGCGGCTGTCATTGTGTGCATTTGAGCCACAGTTGCCTTGCCTTTGTCCGTGGTGGGTGCCACACCAGAGCAAGGGTGTGTCCTGCCCTTCCTAGGGTGAGAACGTCGCTGGCTGCCAGACAAGGTGCTTCTCCTCAGGAACTGAGTAAGCCTGGTATCGCAGAAAGGGCTTCTCTGAGTAGAAATAAAAACAAAAGGCAAAGCCAGCCTCGTGGGACGATGCTCACCCTGTGACTCACATCACAAGAGGCAGAACAGTGACAGCACCAGAGCCTCCATGTCCGGCCACCAGATGAAGCCATCCAGGCAGGTTCCGTGCTAGGTGCTGGAGACACGGCCCAGCGTCACGGGCTAATTTGTGTCGTGTGGTGAGTGGTAACCAGCATTTAAAGATACGCCTGATAGTTCAGCCTACTTTATTCTCTTCATTAAAAATGGTGGCAGACAACATTTCATTCTGCCCTGTGGTGAAGATGATCTGTTTGTAACCTGCCGGGTGACTGCAGGTGATAGCTCACTCCCGGGTCATGGCCAGGGCTCCTCTGCCATATTTTAGAGGACTGTCTGTCCCTCCGAGGGGCCGGGAGGGTTCGCAGGCCTGTGAGCAGTGCACATCGGTCCCCTGGGAAGACCTGGGGCCAGTGTCAGCACCATGGTGCCTGTTACACACGGGCGCCGGCCCAAGCCCTGAGCCGAGGCTACTCTGAAGGCAGAACAGCTCACCTGAGCACATGCACACACACAATTGTGCTCACACATGCAGACATGCACACTGGCAGATGACCGGAGCCAGCAGTGCTCCCCCGGGGAGAGTCCCGCCAAGGCTGTGGGCCACGGCGGGCTTCACCTGGCCTCATGAGGACCCCAGCCCCGGACGTAAGTCAGGAAGAGGGTCTTCACCCACTTCACAGATTCGGAGACCAGGGCTCAGAGAGGGCTAAGCGGCTGCCGGAGCTCACATCACAGCAAGGCCTGGAGGAGGGATGGACCCATAGTCTCTGCTGAAGCAAAGGTGTAGGGGGCGCTGTCAGCAGCAGTGAACCCCAAGGGCTTGTCCCCAAGGGGGACAGCCTCAGCCATTCGTGCGCATCTCACAGCCTGGCTTGTCTCATCCCCAAGGGGTAAGGGCCTTCCTGGGACCCCACTCAGGACCAGGCGACAGGGACGGGCCACCTTGCGTCAAGGGGGCGAGTCCTGGTTAACAGGTCGGCACCTGTGGGAGGGAAGCCGGGACAGTGTCCACCTCAGCTGGAGATGGATGGTTGAAGTGCTGGCCAAACAGACGTCGGACCCTCTCTGGGTGGGACACCATGTGCAACAGAGTTTGGCACCTGGTCCCTGAAGCCGGCACTCCATGAGCTGTGCCCTGTGAGGTGGTGTCTCCAGGAGGGACGGGCCCTGGGAGTGACCAGGGTCCACTCTGAGATGGCAGCCACCCCGGTTGGTTCCTGGCCTGGATCTGATGAGGGCTGGTACAGGCGACTAGCGGGCGCCCTTCCCACCAGCCACACGTCTGCCCAGAGCCCCTCACTGTCCAGTCGCTTATGCCAGGGCTCCCGCCGTGCCCACGCCTCACACCCAGCTTTCCAGAAGCTCTGAGCTCCCTTCCCTCCCGACGACACAAGCCCTCCTGCTCCTTGTCCCCACTGGGGCACTGCCCATGTCCAGCAGAAGGGGCCAGAGGGTCATGGAGCTCCCAAACACCTGGGCTCAGCCACATGTGCGTCACTCAGGCCCAATCCAGAGCCCAGCGAAAATGCCCCGAGGACCTGGCCCTCCTCCCGATGGTTACCTCTCTGGATGGGAGCCCCTGTCATCCCAAGCACACCAGGGCCAGAGGCTGACAACAGTCCAGCCGCTGAAGGGGCTGCTCAGATGCCAGGACTCACGAGGGGGCAGGACCTCCCCAGGGTCTGAGATTTCTGCCCCAAAAAGGTTGGGCAAAAGCCCGACTGCTGCATGGTCCACCCAGGTGGCCTTGGCCCCTAGTCCCAGGGCAGGCAGGGCCTCTGCTGCCCCCAAACGCTGCACGTGCTGGGCGTGCTACGCTCGCTTCACTGCCAAATGGAAGGCGCGTGGTGGCTGCCGCCAGTGCCTGGCCCCTTTGTCTCCAGCACATGCCACCCGTGCCACGTGGCAACATGCAGGGATCCCATAGCCCGGCCCTACTCATGGTCCCTGGGCCAGGAACAGGGGAGGTCGGGGGGACTCCAGGGACATGGCCCCATTCTCCAGGCATTCATGTCCATCACAGCTGACCCAGTGTCACCAGCACCCTTGTGTCCCCCTGGAGGACATATCACGGACACTGGCAGCATGGAGGTGGCAGTCAAAGCTTTGAAGTAAAAAATCCTGAGTCGGGGTCCCACGTGTGTCCTCGCCAGCCGAATGCCAGGACACAAGGACCCCTCTGAGCTTAGCCCTCCTCCTCCATGGAGTGGGGCGGGCAACCCTGGAGGGTCAAGGGGACATTAAACCAGGTGATGTCCAGGAAGCGCTTGGCCCTGATAAAGGTCAGGTGTGTGGCCACCAGACTGACTCGGCAGTCAGGAGGACTGGCGCCAGGCCAGGCTGCTCCGTGCCCCTCCAGGCAGCAGGAAGGTGCAGCCGTCCACAGAAGGCAGCTCCGATATGGAGCTTGGAAGAACCTCGACCCCAGCCCACGACACCGCTGTGCACTGATGCCCTGGGATGCCCAATCCCAGGCCCTCCACCGTCTGGGGAGGTTGGGGCAAGGACCCCATCTCCATCCTGGACATGAGGACTCCAGGCTGACAGTCCTGGGGCTGACCTTGGAGTCTTGGACCTTTTCAAGACCCTCTGAAAGTGATAGGTCTTCCTCCCAGAAAGGGTGGACACAATTTTGCCTCTGGTTTCGAGGATTTATGAACACCTGAGAGGCGACCACAGATGACCAGGACCCTGTGTGTGGATTAAACATCCCGGGGCTAAGTGCCAGAGGGAGGGGACATGAGGTTGGGATGGGGGCCCCTTGGACAGAAGCTGGGGCTGATGCAGTCCCCAAGGACACCTCCCTGGGCCCCAGGGTGGGACTGAACTCAAAGCAGACACTCTGGCCACCATGGCCACGTGCTCCTTCTGCTGGACCAGTGAGAGGATGAGAACCAGGGCAGGGGGCTTCAAGGAAGAAGCCCATGAAAAGGCAGCCCCTCAACTTACGTCGGGGTTCTCTGGAAAGCAGCCTCCTTTGGACAAGCAGGTAGGGGTGAGGCTTACTCAGGGCCCCTGGGAAGGGCTAGGTTAGGACAGTCCCTGCAGGTGGCCCAGAGCCTCCCCCAGGCCTGAAGTCACCACCACCCTGCCCGGGCCAGATGCCAAAGGCTGGGTGGTTACCGATGGCATCGAGGACGCGCTCAGCTGATGAAAAAGCCTGATCAAGACTTTAAAATATGAACCAAAAAGGCCCACTTTAATTAGGTTAATAGACAGTGAACTAAAACACTGCTGAATAAATCTTCTGGAAAAATCATTTTCTGAGTTCAAGGTTGGTGGCACTGGATCAGCCTAATTGGTTTTGAACTTGCTGATTTGGGACTTGAGGGGAAGTTTACTTCCTTATGAATGGATTGCGTCACATCCTGAAGCAATTTCGTGGAGGTGGGAGTCCTGGAATCCACTAACCCACCTGCAGGTCCCGTGGGCTCTCCTGGGTGATAGGTGCCCGAGCCCTGGTTGCCTGCTGGACGGGGACTTGTCAGAGGGTTAGATGTGAGCGCCGTGCCATGGAGGCTGAGGGGGCCCCGCAGGCAGGCTGGACAGGGCGTGGATAAAGAGGCTCAGCAGACACCAGCCCAAGGGACACAAGCATACCTTCTCAGGGCCCATGGGGCCGCCGGCCTCCCCACATTGACTCTTAAAGAAAAATAACTCAATAAGACTCAAAACAGAAAAGCAGTATAAATCTTACTCTGGTCAAAATTAATAAAACTAGAAAATAACAATAAAAATTAAAATTCCCCAATTTTGTTCTTTTTAAGTCACGAGACCAAGAGCCAGTGCTCCCTGCAGATGGGAGTGGGTGGGGGAGCCCTCCATGGCCTTGAACTCCGAGTCCCCTGGTAGATAAACTGGTGGGAGGGGCACGCAGCCCACGTGGCTCAGAGACACACAGACGCAGCGAACAGGCGCCCAAGCTGACGCCTTGGGGGGAAAGGCTGCGGGCTGTTGGGGCTCAAAAACCGACTCTTGGGGGAAACTGTGAGAAGCCAGTACTCTTACCATCATCTGGTTAAAGCATTCGTGGGGGGCAGATGGGGGGCACTTGGAAAGCACACCAACGCCTTCAGGAGGACAGAAAACAGGGACACAGACCGGCAAAGGCGTGCTCCGGCCGTGCGCGCCCCTCCGGGCGGCGTGGCACGCCTCGTGCCCGCGCCTTCCAGCGACCTGCGTGGGTTTGCAGACGCACACGCGGTTGCCTGGGGCCTCCATAGACACTTGCCAGCGCGGGAGCCTCCGCTGCCTTCCTAACACCGTTTCTCGCGCGGAAAACGGGCAAATATACCAGGTCTTTTCAGATCTGAACAGCAACGTTTTGGTCCCATGTCCCATATTCAAATAAACATATTTGCGGAAACAAAGACCGACTTTGAACTCAGCCTGCGGAGGGCTGGGGCACACAGGGAACCTGGAGGCAGCTGCCTGGGGCAGGAAGACCGCGTTTCCAACCAAAAGTGTCCACAGCTTCCTCAGTTCCAGTGGAAATGACTAAAATCAAAGAAATGAGTCAGAATTAATGAAAAGCTGCAGACTGGGAGAAAAGACTTGCAAACCACATAGGCAACAAAGGATGCGTATCTGGAAATATATACAGTGCTCAAAATTCAACAGTGAAGACAACCAATCCAGTTGGAAAATGGGCAAAAACCATGAGGAGACATTTAGCCAAAGAGGAGATACGGGTGGGACATATGCTCGTGAGAAGTCGTTGAAGGTCGTCAGCCATCAGGGAAATGCAAAGTAAGCCCTGGATGAGGTATCACCACGTGCCCATCAGAATGGCGGAAATTCAAAGTAGGGAGGACGTCAAATGCTGGCAAGGACGTGGAGGGCCTCGACCCTCGTCCACGGCTGGTGGGAATGGGACGTGGAGCAGCGTGGCAGTCTGGCGAAACCACAAAGCCCAGTACCTGCAGCCCTGGGCACTTACCTGTCCACAGGTACACACAGCCATGTGCTCGCTAGAAGTGCCCTACGGCAGGTGACTAGCTACCAAACGCGGAGGCCATCACGCTGTGGGGCACCCTGGGCAACAAGGGAAGGCCGCGGGGGCCCCTTGGGGGCGTCACACTGCGGGAAAGAAGCCAGCCTCAGAAGGGCACATACAGTGCGCTTCCGTCTACGTAACACCTGAAATGACAGAATCACAGAGAAGGAGAGCAGATTAGTGGTTGTGGGGATATTTCAGGAGGAGGCAGGGATGGGAGGGGGCACTGCAAAGGGCAACAAAGAAGAAGACCTTCGAGGCCACGGAGCGCATCTGAGTCTCGGTTGCGGGGCTGGGCAGCCGCAGGAATCGCACCCGAGAAAAACGGGGCAGCGTTGGACACCCGCCTGCACAGCACAGGTTCCAGCCGGGATGCTGTGCTGTCACGTGAGATGTTACGTGGGTCACAGACGAGGAACCCGCACGGGACCCCTCTGTGCTGCCTGTCCTGGCCACTTCCTGTGCATCTAGTCTAATTATTTCAAAATGAAAGTTTTTTGTTTTTTAAATGACAGCAGGCATTGCTTTGCTCTGGGGGAGCCAGACCTCAGGCATTAGTGTGTGTCCTGAAGGGCTTCTGCTGCCCATAATCTGGCCTCACTATCGGGCTGCTCACGGCTCTCCCAGGATCGTTTTACCTCACATTCAAAGTGATAAAAAAAAAGCCCCATTGTCATAACGGCAATTTTTAAATCTGTTTGCACAGCAAGCCAGCAGCCACCCACCGCAACCGCCTTGCGGAGAAAGGAAGTCAGGGGACAACATGGTGTTGGCTGCTGAGGGTTCTAGATGTCCTCCTGTATGGCACAACACAGTTCACCCCAAAACAAACCACAGATGTGGATGGGGCGCCCGCTTTGCAAAGATGCGTGGAGCTGCACACCCGTTTGAAGACACGCTGCCCAGAGTTCCCCAGGCATTGCTCAAGTGTGTTGCATTGACACACTCCTGGCCACGCTGAGGCTTTCATCTCCAGCTGTCAGGAGGGCAAAGGCTCCACTGTCAGGGCTTCACTCTGGGCACAGAACAAACATTCTGAGAGCTGGGTTGTCACAAAGTTTTAAACCTCTGTGCCAAAGCCTTGTTATCTTGCCGGAGCAGCAGCTGGAGTATTAACAAGCCGCAGTGGAATGTAATTAGACCCCTTGTTCCAGCGAATCTGCAGTGCTAACTGGGGATTCTCTGCAGTGCATCTCATGGGGCTGGAATTAACTTAGCCAGACTTGCAGTCTTGCTCGTGGGCTGATGGCGGGTCCCTCTGAGGTCCTGCCAGCTACTCCCCTGGTGCCTTTCTAGGCCCAGCTGTACCCACCTCCTCTGGCAAAACTTCCTGAACTCCTACCTGGTCCTGGTCACCAATCCCTCCAGCGGCACCTTCTTTTGCTCTATCACTTATTCCAATATTTTTTGAGAGCGCACAGTGTGCCAGGCTGGGACTTGGTGGGAGCAGTCACCCACCTCCCTGATCCCCGCTAAGCTCTCGTGTTCCCCCCAGCCCAGCGCCAGGAAGCCGGCACACAGCAGAGCGGCAGGACCCAGCCAGACTCACCTGTGGAACCCTCTGCCTGTCTTGCCCTCTCCCGGGTCGTGGACGCTCAGGGTGGTATGGCTGCGTGAGCGTGAGGCGTGGAGCCTGTTCCAGCCCTGTCTCTGCCCATCGCTCACAGACTGGACACCGAGCATGTCTGAGAAGCCAGGCTTGGGCAGGCCCAGCTGGACGTCTAGATTATGAGGCTGAGGGGGTGAGGCACTGGATCCCAGGCCTGCAATAAACTCTTACACTTGGGGCAGGTGGGGAGAGCATGCCAGGAGACCGGGGCGGGCAGGAGGCAGAGCACTGACCGGCCTCGTCCCAGAAGGCAGGAGGGGCTGTCTTTCCACGGAGCCTCTGCCAGGGTCTAGGCTGTTTTTAGAGGCAGGACGAGAATTCAGGATGGTTCTGATATGGGAGAGCCCCCTCACTGTAGAAATGTTAAGTCTCCTCCCTAGTTTCTTAGCCCCTGGCTTTGATTACTCCTCTAATCAGTTTCTGAATCCTAGACTAAAGATAGCTTCTAGCCTGAATCACAGAATATCTCTCATCCACCCCCGATTCAGGTACCTACTTACAAACCTGTGACTTCCCAACATCCCCCAAGCCATTCCGGACCTAAACCTTGGATAAGTTCATCCCAGAGACTAAATAGGTTTTAACATTTCCCCAGGCCAGTATACTTGTTGATTGTAATTATTGAAGCTTAATATTCTTTCTAACCCATTCTGGGCCCAGCTCCTGGACAATTGATGCCACCTGAGTGACCGGTTGAATGGCCACAGGCTCCTTAAGAGCTAACGGCCACACCGACCTTCATTTCACCTGGGCCTCATTATAATATCGTACATATGCCCGGAAGTTCATTCATATCATTATAACAGACTGAATTCTGGGAAGGGACATGTGCAGTCTAAAAAGATGAGGTAATAGCCTCTTGTCAATCACAGGTGTCAATCAAGTGGTCCCATACCTGGAAAGGAGCAGCCCATTCTAGAGAAAAAAGGATAAAAACAACCAAGGCCTCGTTAGTCAGTGCCCTTGAGCCGTTCTCTACTGCTCGGGCTCGCTTCTATTTCTTTGAAGTGTACTATTTCTTCTAATAAACTGCTCTTTCACCACTTTACTTCTGTGTCTCGTTCAAGTCTTTGCTCGAGACGCCAAGAACTTGGACATCGTGCCTCGAAGAATCTGCTGTCCGGTAACAGGTCAAGGCTGGAACCCATTCTGGCAAGGAGGAGGCTGGTGGCAGGCAGGGTTGTAAGACATTTGGGGCCGGGGAGGGGACAGGTCTCCTCTAGATGACTCCAGGGTCCCTTGGGCACAAAACTTCCTCAGCCCCACTCCCTCATCACAGAAGCAAGCCCTGCCTGCTTCTGGGCCCTGTCAGCACCGCCGCTCACTGTGCAAAACTGCCTGGAAAACCTTGGGATGCAAAGAATCAGAAAAGAAGGATTCTGCACTCACTGTTTTCTTTCTGGAAGCAAAACAACACACAGCTGCAGGTGCAGCCTGTACTTCCTGCCATGACATTTTCCGCCAGACCTAATGGAGACATTCGTGCTGTGGGTGGAGGGTGTGAACATCCGGCATCACCTATCACCGGGAGTGTGCGCTCCGGGTGGCGTGGGGAGGCAGTCAGACCACTTTCCTGGGGAACGTGCAGCTCACACCTACACGACGGGTGTCCTCTGACTTGGGACGCTGGGTCGCTGAACCCGGCCTAACGCGATTGAGCGCCAGCCAGGCTTTGTCTCTTCACCACTCATCCAAGCTTAATACTTTGTGCCTGAAACCCACCTGCGTCTCCGTGAGAGGGCGCCGTGCTCCCAGGAGGCTCGGCGTGACTGTTCCCAAATCCCGAGGGCTGGGCCCACCAGGGAGTCACTCCAGCTGCTGCTGAAGCTGGTGATGGATTAGCAGCTGGTGGTCCCTGGAAACAGCTGGCGCAGGACCTGGGTGGACGTTCCTGGGGGCTCCGGCAGCATCCGGCTCTCCAGGCCTCCTACGCTCCCCCCAGCTTCCTGAGGGCCACGCTCCCAGCAGGAAAAATAGATGGAAATGCAGTGAGCTTTGCCTCGATGGCCCCCCGGGAGATGAGAACTCCTGGGGCGGGGGGGGGTTGGGAGTGCCCAGTCCCCTCAGGAACAGCCTCTGTGCCCACCTCAGTGTGCTGGCTGCTGGGCACCGGCATCCCCCATCACATCTGCCCCACGGTCTGAACGAACAGCACAGCACCTGGCGACTCAACCTGAGGGTGAATTTAAAAGGAGCGTCTATTTTTAGAGTCTACTTTCAACTCGGATCACAGCGACGTAGGTAAATTGCAATAAAAACAGCACATTTCGCCCCAGAGCCCACTCAGCAAAGTACAAAAGGATTTTTTTGCAATAACGGTGGCAGCGGGACTTCAAAGGTCAATTATATCGGCTGAGGGGCACCCTTAATGGAAAGTGTCACACCCCAAGGCTTCCGGGGTTTGCTCCAGAATTCCTCATCTGAACGACGCTGTTACAGGGGTGGGAGGACCAGCCTGAACACTCTCTGAGCCGGGAGATTCAGAAGACCAGCACTGCAGGCTCTGACCTCTGCCGAGGCACAGAATGGATTTCCCTTAGACGATCCTGACAGCCTCATCGTGTGCCTCTTACTGTGTCCCTCTGGTTGCCTGGGAGGAGGTGGGGTCAGCGTTATCACTGTTAACAGGGATTAATAAGCAAGCAGTCCATGTGACCTGAATGTGTTTGGGCTGCAGGCTGTGGCAAAATCAGAAAAACAAAACCACAACCATAGCGGGGAAGCACAAAACTAAGAGGAGACTAATGCACAGAGAGGCTAAGGGACTTGCCTGCAGCCACTCAGCAAGTGTGCGGGGGAACTGCCATCCAGCCCCAGAGTGTGTGCCTTAACTGTCACTATTGTCCACAAAAGAACACATGAGGGTCCTTTCCCCAGTGACCCTGAAAAGACTTCTAGACGGGGCACTGAGGGCCCAGGGCAGCCCGCCCGAGCCACCTGGGGCTTAAGGAGCAAATTGTCTGGGCCACCCTTTGCGGGATTGAGAACGGCGGAGGGACAGAGCCCACCTGTGTCCTCCACCACCTGGGAGAAGATGTGTGGTGGGTGGGGTAGCAGGGGCGAGGCCAGGTGGGGCTGCCCATGGCCACTTGCCCCCGCCAGAGGGTGCTGTCCACTCCTGTGCAACAGAAGTGACCCAGAGCCTGGGACCTTGTCCCACTCCCAAATCCTCATTCAACTTGGGCCCCCTCGGCGGGCAGCATCCCAGGGACACAGCCCCTCCTCAGAGGAGGCCTTGTTTCACTTGGTGTGTGCAAGGCCTTTCCAGGTGGCCACAGGAGGGCCTGGGCTTGTGTCCCAGGAGAGTGGGCCTTCTGAGCTCCAAGGCCCGGAGGAGCTGAGATGGGCCCCCACTTCCTAAGCTGCCCCACTTGGGAGCTAAATGAGGCGCAGCTTGGGGCAAGGGCCCTCGTGGGTCCTCTGTGGACAGCAGTGAGGGTGAGGCGCACACGGGAGCTCACTTACTGTGTGACGGGGAGCAAGCTCCTCAGCCTCTCTTGTGCCTCAGGCTCCCCATCTGCCAAGTGACAAACAACAGATCACGCAGACACCTGCTTGCAGACTGGCTCATGTGACGCCCAGCACGAGAGCCTAGGTACTGCCGGCCCGGCTGCAGTCGGGTCTGTCCCACACCCGTCCCTGACCCTGCCCTGGGCCCTCCAAGACCTTCACCCGGGAAATAAGGCCACACAGAGCCGGCCCTTGCTCTGCACGCGGTGTTTTCAGGACTGAATTTAGTCAAGGCAGTAACTCCATTTTGCTAATGGATGAAACTTTGTCTCGTTTTTATTAATAATGATTAAAACCACATTTATTATTCGTTTGTCCTCTGTTCTGCTGGGACTTGGATCACAAAGTGATTTTCAAAGACTGTGACTATGATGCCACGCATGCTGGGGTCGGCCACACTTCACGCCCCCAGCAGAGGCGGTGCCACCGCGAGGCCACATGCAGAGCCAGCGATGGTTTACCTCCGCGTTTTGTCTTTAGTCACAATAAGCTCATAAAGAGTTCAGAGATGCTCTCATTTTGATAGAATGCGGAGTTATAATTGGTGACCTATTTTAAGCAATTTAATTTCCCATGACCTGTTTTCCAAATTAACTCAGTCGTAAAGGCCGTGTGCTGTGAAGGGGCCTGCGTGGTGCTGAGGCCTGCGACTCGTTTAAAGGCGTCTCTCTCACATGTTCACATGGAAAGCTGCTGGGTGGTGCAAAGGTTTCTATCGCGCCTACCAAGCCACGGATTTTCAACCAAAGCAAAATCAAAGAAAATGAACAAGGACATTGTGAAGACCTATAAAGTCACCAGTGAAAGCCACAGCTCTTGACAAATCCGTCTGAAACCCTTCTTGCTACTGGAATGCAGGGACTGCCGTGGGCAGCGGCTGTGGCTCTCCCAGGCCTTCCGGCTCCTTGGCGGCTCACAGGACCTTGGATGACTCCCATGCGGGGAGTGTCCCGGTCCTTGCACAGCCCCCCAGAGCTCCTCTCACCAGACCTGTCACTCTGGTAGAGTGGGTACACCTGTGACAGAGAACACAGAACGCCAGGCTACGAGCTGGAGGGGGAGTGAAGTGAGGTGCCTGCCCCCAGACAGGTTGGTCTGGCTGGAGATGACACCCAGCTGTGCCAACAATGATACGAGGAAAGGGGCAGAAACCCTGTCAAACACACAGCATGGTCAGCGAGAGGACAGCCTGGGGACACGGCCCAGCTTCCTGACACCTGACAGCACCAGGATTTGTTAGAGAAGCAGGCTGCCAGGCCCACCCTGCCCCTGCACCCAGTGGGTGGGTCCAGCACACGGTTAAGGTCAAGAAGCATTGCCACCCTAGAAGGCTTCTGGGGGAGAGGGGCAATCCTGGCTGGGGCCTGGGCGGACGGGTAGGCAGGGAGGAGCTGCAGTGGCCCCTGACCAGAGCATCATCTAGGTTCTGAAATTCCACGCCTCGAGTCGTGGCGTTGGTACAGCCATGGCCATCACACTCCTCTTTCAAACGCAGGCATCCCAGGAAGGCAACCACGTGCCGGATGTGGGTGTGTGTGTCCACCGCTGCTCACAGCCTGAAGACCCGAGGGCACTTAGGGGGCAGGGAGCTGCTTCCCTCCTGAGCCCTGCAGCTCGTATGGCCAGGCTTGCGATTCAGGGTGCTCGGGGAACTCATGGATGACGGATGGTGGTGGGTGGTAGATGGATGGATGGATGCGTGGTGGATGGCGGAAGGCGGCTCAAGGGTGGAGGGTAGATGGCGGATGGTGGAGGGTGGATGGATGGTTTTAGTCTCCAGAGAGTACGAAAACAAATGGCATTAAATGCGAGATGAACCCTCCTACACCACCAATGGGAATGTAAAATTTGCAGCCACTTTGCAAAATAGCCTGGCAGCTCCTCAGAAAGCAACACGTAGACTTACCCTCTGTTCCACTTGTAGGTGTCTATCCAAGAGCAACGAAAACACACATCCACACTAAAACTCGTGTACAAATGTCCACAGAAGCTTTAATCATAATGGTGAAGTAGTGGAAACAACCCAAAAGTCTATCACATGATGAGTGGGTAAGTAAAATGTGATCTGTCAACACAAAGGAACATTATTCGGCCATGAAAAGGAACGAATTACGGAGCTGTGCCATCGCAGGGGCCACTCTGGCCAACACCGAGCTCAGTGAAAGAACACAGACACGGGAGGTTTGGCGCTCATGATTCTGTGTACGTGGGGGTCCAGAATAGACAAACCCTAGGAGACAGGGTTAGTTTTCTGCTCACGCCGAAGGAATGGGGACTGGGGAGTGACACCTGAGGGGTGCGCCCGGGGCTTCTTTCTGGAGTGAGAAAAATGTTCCAAAACGGACTGTGGGTTACAGCTGCTCAAGTCTGTGAATATACTGAAAACGGCTTAACTGTACACTTTATGCGGGTGATTTGTAGGGCATGTGAATTGTATCTCAATAGAACCGTTATTAAAAAAAAGGAAAGTGTTAAACCACAAAAAGTGAGCTGGTTGGTCCTCATGCCACTTCCTCCCCAGGGGGTGAGGCTGGAGTCAGAACTGGAAACCCAGGGCTGGGCCCTGGGTGAAGGCTACTTGTGTGGCTGCCTGCGGGGTCACTGCTGCAGCACAAGCCTGGCTCTTGGCCACTTTGCCCCCAGCTGGGCGCTGTGCAGGCCCAGGTCACCCTGTGTAACAGAGGCCAGGCCAGGGGCACCCTGTGCTCCGCCCCCCAGGCCGCCCCTCTTCCACGGGGCTCACCAGCTTGGAGGCCCTTGTGCTGCAGGTGAGTTCACGTGCAGCCACGTGCCTGTGACAGCGACCTGATGGCCACGTGCTTAAACTGGGAGCTGGGCCTTGGCCTCTGGTCAGAAGCTGGGCGGCGGAGGCCACAGTGCAGGCCGCTGGGTGAGTTTCCCCCAGGCCAAGCCCCAGGGACCCCTGGCTGTGGAGTAAGAGGCTGGGAGTGAGCAGCTCTACAGACGAGGGCACTGAGGCTCTCATCTCTGTATGGAAGTGGGGTGTGTGTGTGTGTGGAGTGGTAACAGCACTGCTGGGCCCAGGGGTCTGCTCTGCCCTCCCCCCTGGGGGAGCCTTGCAGCAGGCAGGTGCGCACTGGGGGTATGGGGGGGGCAGGGCTGGATGAGAGGGAGGACTGGGGGGGCTGGGGTTTTCCCAGGCCCCTCCCAGGGCCCTTCTAGATGCTCTCTGGTCCAAGGGCACACGTGTGGAGAGTTGGCGGCCAGACGAGTCTCTCCCTGGAGGAGACCTGGGTCAGGTGTCTGGCCCAGGTGCACTCAGGGCCCGGCCTGGCAGGGCCTATCACTGCAGACTCTCGCCAGGTCAGCCACTGCAGGGTGGTCTCCTGGCACCTGGAACTGCTGCCCGCAAAGCAGGCCCCTCAGCCTTGAGCACAGGGCAGTAACTGAGTGTGCACCCTCCCCACCCCCCACCCAGGGAAGGTAGCTGGTCAGCAGCTGCTGGGGTTCAGAGGACTCGCTTTGGCACCACGTCCCACCCAGCAC